ACTAGCATTGTACCCGCCCTCTGCTGCAGTTCTCCATCAGCAGAGGGCGGGTACAATGCTAGTTTACTAATGGCTATTGCAAATTGAAATAGCCAATAGGAAGTGTCAGAATAAAGAAAAAACAGTGTTTCTCTCCTGGGCGGCAGGGAGCGGGAGGCTCCCAGAGCGCACGGGAGAGTTTTTTTTTTTTTTTACGGCAGCAGAACCACCGGAGAATAGAAAACTGTTGGGCGGAGCTAGCTGTCATTGCTTGCTCCGCACAATCGTTTTCTATTTACTTTTTAAAAACTTTTTTAACAATTTAAAAAGGGACCGAGCAGAACAGCCGAGCCAAATGCCGCTCAGCCGCATTCGGCTATTCACTCACTGCTGTTCGGCATCTATAAGAATAGGCCGAACAGCAACGAGTAGCCTGCCGGAGGTTCGGCTCAGCTGATCCAGATGTTGGATCGGCTGAGTCGAACTCCTTCTGCACTTCGGGTCAGCCGAAGCCATGCGAAGCAAGCCGATGTACGGCTGATTTCAGCCGATATACGGCTGAAATCAGCCGTACAAGCCTGAAGTGAATAGCCGAACAGCGTTCGGCTCACTTCACTTCAGGTCGGTCATTCACTCGGCTGCCTACGCCATCTTAGTGAATAGACCCCATAGTTGATTTTACAAGCAGGCCAACATACTTTTAACATATTTTGTGAGAACAATCCAGATAGAATTTGTTTAGAGCACCTAATAATGTGGAACAAGTTGGGGCAGATTTAGGACAAAGTAACAGCAAAAACTTATTGTTGGCCATAACAATTGTTTCACTTCCATCTGTCATTTCTGCTGTGCAAATGAAATAAGGTTGATGATTAACTACTACTAGATTAGTTACTAGCTATTAGATGATTGCAATAAGGCATTTCTTGTCAGTTCTTGATGATTGTCATCACATGTAATTCGCTTTTATTTACAACCCAAGCTGTGGCCACATTTATGCTTTGGTCCTTGTACAGGGGAATGTCCAACCTGTGGTTCAGTAGTGAGTCAAAAGCCACCAACTCTATATCTGAAAAAAGTATTGACAGTATGGCTTACTGATGATGACCAAATATTTCCTGAACCTCATGCTCTGCCTAAACTGCTTTTGAGGTTACATTTCCAAAATGCAACCTCAACCAGAGAATTCAACTTATACCAGACATGGACTCCAATATGTGAACAGCACTCAAGCTCTGCTTGCATGTCTAGAGTAGGGTTGCAACCAACTATTTGAATAATCGATAATGGGAATAGTTGTCAACTATTCTCATTATTGATTAGTTGGTTAGATCCCCTAGCTCTCTCCTCAGTGCTGGGAGGAGGGCACAGCAAGCAGTTGGCGGGTGCAATAGCCAGCCTGCTATTGGCTATTACAATTTGAAATGGCCAATAGCAGGCTGGCTATTGCACCTGCTCACTACCTTCTGTATTTACATTCAGCTGCCATCTGCGGAATCTTGCCACTGGCCGCTATCATCCCCGGGCTGAAGCTATTCAAGCGCCACGTGCTTACAATACAATTATAAAAATAATATATATATATAAAAGGTGGAAAAAGTAATTTTCGGTTTTGGCCTGAGAAATTCTGCTGCGGGAGGTGCGTTGCAGTGCCATTAATTTCAATGGCACGCCAAACGCGCCTCCCACCCACATTGTGATGATCGCCAGCACTGGAACGCATGGTACCGCAACACCGTGTGTTCCAGTGCAGTACGATTGCAAAAAGTTGTGTATGCAGTTTTATTCTGAAGTAAACTTTATGTTTGTAACACTGCATTTGTGTACTTTATTTTAAATGAAGAGTGGTATTTATAAATTTTTTATCCGATTAATCAATTGAAAAATAATCGGCCATTTAATCGATTATGAAAATAATCATTAGTTGCAGCCCAAGTCTAGAGGGCACCATGAAATAAAGGATCTAATTTTGATATAGGTCTATAGGATACAACAGGTACAAATTATTTGATCCTTCTAGGTGAATTTTTATTTTCTTTACTGAGCAATGCCCAGTGACAAACTGGCTGCACTTTGTGTGGACTGCATACAGAAAACAGCTGAAAAAAAGGGTGATTTATTTGCAAAACAGACCCATGTCGCTCTGCAGATATAACCCTATCATAGGCCTTGTTCACACCAGCAGCCATGTGTGTGTGCTCGGACAGTGCCGAACGCTCGATCGAGCTGCATCACCCTGTTTTTTCTATAGGCTCACCGCCTTGCAATGCAGCTGTATTGCATCTCACTGTGGTGTATTTCTTTATTTAAGCACACACCACTGGAACGCCGTGGTGTGAACTGTCACCACCCATAGTAAATAAAAGTAAGCAGACACACACCAGCAAACACTTGAAGGGTTTTTAATAGAGGTGCACTGAAATGGAAATTTTAAAAACCGAAACCGAAATAAGAGAAATGTCAGGCCGAAACCGATACCGAAAATGTTTTTTATTTTTTTAAATATTTAATTTTTTATAAATTTTGTAATTTTTTTATTGGTCGTTAAGTGAGGAACTCTATACAGTACTGTACTGCATTAGTACAGTACTGTATAGCGTTTCCGATGTACAGTACTGAACAGTGTACTGTACATCAGGCAATGAAAATACTTACCGAGACCCGCAGTGAAGATCGGAGGACACCACTTCCGCCGGTGACACGGCGCACTGACGCTGACGCGCAAGATCAGAGGTCGATCGGCGGTCCGTCGTAAGTGCGAGTGGTCGCAAAACAGGTCGGTAAGCGAGGAACATCTGTATTGCAGACTTGCCAAGCTTCACAATTTTGTTGCACAATTACAGCAAGTCTGCATTGCAAGTCTCCAGACCAGCGAGCTTGCAGAGCTCTTGCTAAGACCTGCAGGACTCTTACTGTAGACTTGCTAAGCAAATTTGCTTCAAATTAATAAAGTGTCAACTAGAAGTTGTGCTGCAGGTGTTCTGCAAGTCTACAATATTGCCAGGAATGTGTGCAGCAAGTTAACAAGAATTACAATTTAACCCTGCCACAAGTTTGTGGTAAGTTATCCTTGCTATCTGGGAACGTTTCGGGTCCGCACAGTAATCCTACAACAGAGCGACAGTGACTGGTCCGCACAGGGATCCTTCATCAGAGCGACAATGACTGGTCCGCACAGGGATCCTTCATCAGAGTGACAGTGACTGGTCCGCACAGGATCCTTCATCAGAGCCCCTGTGCGGACCCTAAATGTTAGCACCGTATGACAGTATGTGACATTGGGTATTGAATAAACATATCAATACTTTAAAAACCCTTCAAGTGTGTGCCGGTGAATTACTTTTATTTACTATTAGTGTTTTGCACGGCGCCATCCGTGTGGTCACCTGGGCACCACATATACCTTGTGGTTTTGAGACCGTGGCAGTGCGAATGGGATTTGGACTTTGCCTGCACCACCCATGACGAAGCCAATCGCTGTGTCTTGCATTTGGGTTGTGCTGAAAAAGATGGCCAGTGCAGCTCAAACGCAGATGATTGAACAAGACCTTACTCCTAATCTTTGTAATATTTGTGAACTGAAATGTTGATATCCAATGCTTACTGATGTATGAGCTAGCATAGCTTGTATGTGACATACTCAGTTCTTGTCAGTAGAAGTGTTAGCATGGTTAATCCTGTCTACATTTATACCTTTATACAAAGATAGTTCAATTAAAATTCAAGTCTAGCTTATTGTCTGTGAATAATTGTATATCTGAGGTCAAGTAACATTAAGCAATCAACAAGTACAGTTTCCAGAGTTTAGTAACATTACAAAAGTCTATTGTAAATGTCATTTGGCAAGTAAGCTCTTTGCTGCCTATTGTTCTCTTTGTTTGATAGTGGCTGTAAACATAGTACAGTATCATTTGACCATTTCAACATCATTCTAGAACACTGTACTCATGTGTTGGACTTATCACTGTTTTTTTTTTTATGTTAACATGTGCCACATAAAACACTAGAAAAAAGGAGGCTATGTTAGTTTAATCTTTCTAGAGTCACGGTATTGTAGATTAAGCTATAAATATAGTTTAGATTGTATTTTTCTTTTGGGGCTTATGAATTCTGTTCCAGATGGTGACCTGAGCTATTATAAAAATTGGAATGGACCATGAAACTAATACTGCAAAGGTTCGTCACACTTTACATTTTAAAACTTGTAACTATAGATTATGTATTTTATATAATGTATATTCAAAGTCCAAAAGAATTTAATATAGACTCTAAATAATACTGTATATATATTTTACTCTCCACAGTAAAGCTCCATGAATAGTAACGCGCATTTGATTGAAACATTTCCTAAAAGCTGCAAGATGTTCATTAAAACCTCTGTGTAATTTTTAGATAGACCATTTCATTTACTGATAATAGATTATTCTTCATGTTCTTAATGCTAGCAGTAAACATCATTATTCTAAGGCAGGGGTCTCAAACTCCCGTGGGGGCTTAAAATGTAACTATATACAGTACTGGTGTTAATGTCTGCGTGTGTTTATAATGTCAGTGTATGTGTTTGAGCTGTATATACTTTTGTATGCAACATAAGTACAGGTGAAACTCGAATAATTAGAATATCGTGCAAAGTTCATTTATTTCACTAATGCAACTTAAAAGGTGAAACTAATATATGAGATGAGACTCATTACATGCAAAGCAGGATAGTTCAAGCCGTGATTTGTCATAATTGTGATGATTATGGCTTACAGCTCATGAAAACCCCAAGAACCCCAAATCCACAACCTCAAAAAAGTAGATTATTACATGCAATCAATAAAACAAGGATTGTACAAAGAACAATATCGGACCTCTGAAAAGTATAAGCATGCATATGTACTCAGTACTTGGTTTGGGCCCCTTTTGCAGCACTTACTGCAATTACTTTTGCACGATATTCTAATTATTCGAGTTTCACCTGTATATACAGTATCTTTGTGATACTTTGTGCGTGTGAATTGTCAGTATTTCTGTGAGTGATGTCGGTATGTGTGTTAATGTTTCTATGTGTATCATATCAGTATGTATACATGTGGAAATGTGTGCAGTGTCAGTGTGTGAGTATATGTGTGTGTGTTTCCCCCCCCCACAGATTAAAATGTTTTAATTTTAATCATAGAGGATCAACAGATTCACACACACACACACAAAAAAATACGCACACACATAGAAATACACACAAACAGAAATATGCACACACATAGGAATACGCAGAAACAGAAATACTAACACATAGAAATACACACACTAATATACACACAATAAGGCCCCAATCAAACCTGTAAGTTTAAGTGCGATTAGGGATTCCTGCTTCAGAAACTTGCATCTTCCTGCAGCAGTAATCCCTAATCTGGTGTTTACAAGCGGCAACTGTCACCCATTCAAGTTAATGATCGGGTGACAGCTGCTGCATGTAAACGGCTGCTCACCGCAGGTAATCATATGTGATATGATTACATGTGTTTAGGAATCAATCACTATACCTGGATGCCAGTGGTGTAACCAGATTTTTTTCTAATACTCACCTGATCCCTGGAACGACCAACAAGCATGGCCTCCCATCTCCCAAGCTGTTAGAAGCTGCATACAGCGTGTGCTGGTTTAAGATACGCTATCGGCGTAGCGGGGAAGGCGGCTGTGCATTTTGCATCACTCCCGCTACGCTAATAGCGTATCTTCTCAGAAGCTGTAAGCAATGAGCTGTAAGCCATAATCATCACAATTATGACAAATCACGGCTTGAACTATCTTGCTTTGCATGTAATGAGTCTATCTCATATATTAGTTTCACCTTTTAAGTTGCATTAGTGAAATAAATGAACTTTTGCACAATATTCTAATTATTGGAGTTTCACCTGTATCTTCTTCCAAGAGCCAACCCACTGTTTGCATCAGGCTAGGTGGACTTGAGAGGCTGGGTTGTATGATGTTTTCAGGAAGCAATGTACAGTACCCTGCCCCACCCACCAGCCATTATCTTCCTGAATTGCATAGAGAGGCACCATGACGCAGTCAACCAGAGAAGCCACCATTTAAGCAGATTAAACTTCAACTTTATTGTATGAATGGTCAGAATTAAATAATCAATAGAATTTTCCAGAACTTCTTTTCTGCCCAACTCTCACATCCTATGAGCATACATGAGATCTACTATATAAGTGTTTATTTTTGTATTGGCTGGAAGAGCAATAATCTACTGTGGTCTTCGGTACATTATAAGTAGTGATGAGCCGAACACCCCCGTGTTCGGTTCTAACTCGAACTTTCGAACATGGAAAAAGTTCTAACTCGAACTTAGAACTCAATGCAAGTCTATGGGGGTAGAACTCGGAAATTTAAATGTCCCCATTTTGAAGCCTTATATGCAATTTATTGGCCATAAAAAGTGTATGGGGATCCGGGTACTGCCCTGGGGGACATGTATCAATGAAAAAAACACTTTTAAAAAATACTTATATATATATATATATATATATATATATATATATAAAGTTATAAGTCTATTATAACTCTCTATAACTATATATAACTCTCTACCTATCTGCTGACTGTAACTAACTATACTAGAACCCTCTCTATCTCCTACAGCACACTACATGGGGCCGCGGTGTCAGCAGCCTTATATAGTGTGCTGCAGGGACTTAGCTGTGAGACATGATTGGGCAGAGTCATCGTGACTCTGACCAATCATGGCTCTACATTTGTACTAAGCCCTGATTGGCACGCTCTTGCACCTGACCTACGGTCAGGTGCAGGACTGTAGCCAATTACCGTTTTCGGACGGCGCAGTGCATTGTGGGATGTGCCGTGGTCGAACATACCGCGGACATCCCATAATGTTCGGCGTTCGGCGAACGCTAGAACATGCAATGTTCGAGTCGAACCTATGGTCGACACGAACATGCAGCCCATCCTTAATTATAAGCAGCTGGACTGGTGTCTGAGTCTGTTGATATCACAGCTGTAGACTACCGGCATCAAAATCTATTTTTACTTTAAAGCTGAATTTTAGTATTCTTTTTCTTTTAGGATACAATACAAAACACATTAGTTACATATAAAAGTCTGTATTCCATCTCATGCAGGCTGTTGCTTATTGTAAAAATCCTACCTTCATGCCTCCTTCATAGCTACTGCATATTGCCCTGAGCAGCTATCTTTTGGTGCTGTACAGGTTAACAGAAGTCACTTTTGGAGTGAAAAGTTGTTCTGCTTGACTCCTCCTCCATGCCCTCTTCTCCATTTAGAGAACTTGTGCTACTATTTTCACACAATGCATTATATTCTGTGAATGGAGGTGTAATTGATTAATGACAGGAACTTCACCGGCCATTCACAGAATGTTATGGGCCAATAGGGTCACCCACGGCTTGAATTTCACTTCAATACAGCTTGAATCGGCTGAATTTGAGCAGTGCACGGCTGGCTTTACTTTGGAGAATTTTGTTATCACTTCTGTGTCTCTAGGAATGGAAGTGAATAGAAAACTCCTCAGTTGAGGAAAAAAATGAGGTTTAGGGGTCTATTCACTAAGCTGCCGTAGGCAGCCGAGTGAATGACCGACCTGAGGTGAAGTGAGCCGAACACTGTTCGGCTTTTCACTTCAGGCTGGTACTGCTGATTTCAGAGAGAGAGTTAGCTGTTTGGAGATCAGTGTCCCTAATTAGCAGATAACCAGGGACACTGATCTCTCTGCAAGTGGCCGGAGCCAGCCGTAAGATCACGGCTGGCTCCGCCGAGCTGTCATGAGAAGGCTGTCGTGCCGCTCGGCCACCTTCGGCTTTCAGCACGGCTCAGCCGAGCCGATGCATATGCGTTCGGTTCGACTGGGCCGCTCGGCCACATTCGGGAGCTGTACGGGCTATTGTGAATAGTAGAACCAAAGGGGCCCTGGGGCCGAAGCTAGCCGAAGGATCGGTCAAAGCTACGGCTCGATCCTTCGGCAGCTTCGTGAATAGACCCCTTAGTGATTTTCTACTCAATAAAAAGCAAATACAAGTTTTGAATTTAGATACATTTTATAGAAACTATGATATACTAGAAAAAACATGTACCTTGGTGTTTTTAGGAGCCAAGGAACACCGAAAATGATGAAGTAGATGGAAGTGTGATATCAAGATTTAGAAGAAGAAGAAGAGGAGTCAAGGTTACTGGCAGATACATTCCTCCTTTAGAGTGGGAGAAGGTAAATGCATTCCATTCTGTGAGTTCCTTGAATAGTTCCTACTTTGAAAGGGTATATGATGATATGGAAAAATATTTCCAAGCATCTGATATGTCTACTAAACTACGTCTCAAGGATGAAAGACAAGGTCTTACGCAAACAGATCACAGAGGAGACAACACACATAAAGCAGAGCAAGAAAAACAAACAATGGAGCCGGTGGCATCTTCACAAGTTTCTGATACCAAGAATACTGACAATATGCTTCAAGAAAAGATAAATCATAACAAAACAGATGATAAAAATACAGCAGAAAAATCTGATAAAGATGGTTCAGCAATACCCAAAGAAACACTAGAAGAGCTGAAAACTGTTCTTAAGGAAAGCGCATTCATTCATCATAAAAACAAACGTAATCCAAACATCAGCACTACAATAGCTCAGATACATCTTCCAAAACGTGTTGAAAACACAAGAGAAAAGTCTGGCTTAACCTTTGAAACATTTCGGCCACATTTGGAAAAAGAGATCCAGCAGCAAGAACCTGCGGCAAAGCAATGCCATGAGATGCCAATTGCTCCAATTATGCCAGGTCCTGTAGAGGTACAGAATGATGAGCAATTTATACAACCCATACAGACATTCAATGGAAAACAGATATTATTACCTGATCAAATAAGTATTGCCCCTGAAACCAAGCATGAACCTCCAGCAACTGAGTTTAAGGGTAAGGATATATTTCAGCCCATGTACAAGAAAATGTTTGTTGTGTGATGTGTGTGTATAAAAATATATGGGAGCATTACAATGACATTAGGTGAAGGATGCTTTGAGCCTGGGCTATAGGAAAAAGATGGGGTTAAAGAAGGTGTTTAAAGAGAACCTGTACTCAAGTTTTACAAAGGAAAACACTGCCTAAACAAAGAGGACCACAGTATGACAGCTATTATCAATATTAGTTAAAACGTTTTATTTTTTATGTGTGCCTCTCTGATTTGTTACTGGGGCCTGATTTCATGGCTAAGCCCTGCCAACTTCCATTCCACTGTCCAATAAAATTGCCTCACTGACCAGTAAGGGCACTCCCATATTACAGGCAGCTGGTAGTTGATAGATGATAGTAAGAAAATAAATATAAACTATATTAAGATTTAACTGCAGAGTATTGTGTCACTTTAAGTAGGAACATTTAAAAGTGAGGGTCAAATTCAAAACATAGGTCCACAATAAATGGTTGATTATGCTCCTGGTGGCTCATGGCCAGCAGCAGAATCACAGAGAAGATGCTTCCATTTATCTTTATGGAATCACTCCCTCGCTGGCCTGGTGCACTAATCTCACTCACTAATATCACATGCTGGCAAGGAAGCAGCAGCTGACATTTTGCTGGTTTGCTAGTAAGTGAGTAACTCCATAGCAAAAAATAAAGGGTCTGTTAGCGATCCTCTCTCTGTTTTTTTGGCTAATTGTCACTACAGGAACACTTTAAATTAAAGTTAGCATACATGCACAAATTTCTTATGTTCAGCCCGCAGACTGAACGAGATAAATCATATGACATCCTCCATCCATGTAAAACAGTTTGAATGTAGAAATCCCCCACACTGGCTATTATTATCATACAGGATTTATATAGCGCCAACAGTTTTCCACTTTCGAACTTTCAAGTTTTTCAAGCCAGAAGGTGCCAGCAAGGTCACACACCGTTGAATTTTGGCTGATTCAGAATGAATAAATCCGAGCCATCTATGACTACCTTTAAGTGATGGCTATACTGTACATGTTTCGTGCTCCCAAGAATGTACTTCACTTCTGAACCAATATTGTTTATTTCCAAACTAGCCAACATTTAACTGCACTGCAGACAGTGCATGTACACCATAAAAAGAAGAAGAATCACTTCCTAGTGGAGGAGATTTCCCAACACATTAGAAATCTCTGTAGACATTAACTAGCATCAGACACACAACTGCTCATTATGCCTCAGAATGCCAGCCATAAGCATCTATATGTAGCAAGACAGTTTGCAAAAAATGGCACATGTATTACATGCATGTACCTGGGAAGCCGAGTACTAGTAAATAATGTAACTGAAAGCTGTGAAAGCTGCAGGCACATTGTGATGAATACTTAGTAGATGTGCGGGAAAAGCCTACTGCTCAAAGTGGGCAACAGACTGTAGATCACACACCTCTAGATGAATTGTAGTTCATCAGTTATTGGATGCCTTTGTTTATTCCTAAACTTCCAGTGCTCATTGCTTTAAGGCCCCATTCACACTAAGCGACATACCTTTTGCAGTGGATCCGTGTGACTTTCGGTGCGACGATCCAGCGACAGTAGCGTGACCTTCACCGTCGGGCTCCATTGAAAAATAGAAAAATCATGCAAAATCCGCCGAAAAAAGGGTCCTGCTAGAGCGACAGCGACGGGCGACATGGAGCTAAGACAGCTCCATTGAATAGACTTCTTGCTATATCGCACGGCAAAAATGCGCGATATCGCGGCGGAAATCGCGTGATAAGTCGCTTAGTGGGAATGGGGCCTAAAATATCTTCATCATCCTAATGTTATGCCATTTTCTTTAAAGCTTAATTTGATATGTTGATAATATATCTTCTACTTATCATTTTCCTAATAACCATCCCACTTAAAGCTATTGCATTCATTTTACCTATTGTTTATGTATAAGTGCAATTTATTTTGTTTCAGAAGGTCTATCTGCCAGCAGTAAAGATGTTGATCCGAGTGGCGATGAAATTCAGGATTCTTATAGTATAATTGCCCTAGTTGAACACCTAAAGCAGCAGATTGCTAGAGAAGATATACGATTTGTCCGGTTTGAAGCTACTGATCTGCATGGAGTATCAAGGTCAAAAACCATTTCTGCACGTTTTTTTCAGGTAAGCTTCATATCTGAGTGTGTTCAGATCTTCAGCTTATCAGAAAAGTATCTCAATATGCACCTTCAACACTTGGAACCTATCTTAGGTTATTCTCTACACATTGATGGGTGATTAAGGGTGGAAGCTTTAGTGAGGCTCCTGTTTCACTTTTTTTAATTGGAGTGCTTGGGATCTCGTTTGCTCTCTCGCGCGCTTGCTCTCTCGCGCGCTGTGCTCGCTCTCTCTCTCTCGCACGCGCTCTCTCTCGCTCGCACTCTCTCTCGCTTGCACTCTCTCTCGCTTGCAGTCTCGCTCTCTTTTAAAGGACTAAGAATACCACATATTTTCAGTTATGGATCATTGGTATATGTAGCCAATTTCTATAAATTCAGAATCCCTTGAAACTGAATATGATATGTATGTTTTACAATGATGGGGCTATAATATGTTCTGTGTGTGAATAGGTGTCCCCACGTGAATGGTATATGATTGGTGATTAAATGCTGCTTACTTATAATTGCTTCATGCTACTGAGAAGTTATATAAGTGTGATATTGTCAGCAAATATCTACACACATATTGCACTACAGTTCTTCCAGTGCTCTATGAAACATTATGGGATATGTCTGATGTTAAAGCTTGGAAGACACAAATGATTGCAGCTCTGTAATCATTAATACATCATTAAATGTATTTTTAAATGCAAGCAGTGTAAGTACCTGAATTTGACCTGGCATCAGCCTTTTGTTGCCCCTGTATAACAGGGCTGGGGAGTGGGAGGAAGCAGTACGAGGAGTCAATCAGTGCATATGCTGACAGGAGAAGAGAACAGAGTTTCAGAGTGATGAGCGTATCACTGTGCTGCTTCTCCATTCACTGCAGTGTGCAAACCTCTTTATAAGTCAGTCAAACAAGCACATTACATTAAGGAATACAGGTTGCCAGAACCCTGACTCGGGTCTACATGTAATTTAACCATTTGTAATATTAAGTGCCCCATGTCTCAGTTTTTCAGGTGCCTAGCCCCCTCTCCCATGTGCCACATACTGTGGTTCCTCTCCCTGGTCCTACATTACTACAGGGTATACTAGTGACATGGGACCTAGGTTGAGGAATCCCAGTGCAAAGGGGGGACTAGACATCCAACACACGTTTAAGCTGAAATTCATGTATTCAATATTCTGCATACTTACCTTAATCCAGCTTCGTCCAATGTAAGTATGTATATGTCATGCCTAATCAGCTGCTGGAGCTACTGAAGTGCTGGCTGCAATCTTCCTGGTCCTGTGCCGAGTGGCTTTGTCTCTGCTCTGAAAATACACCAGCTTGCTAGCTTAGCACATCGGCCATTCAGAGAATTCCTAGTATTTTTATTAGTAAATACAAAGCATTCTCTGATTGAAGTTTGGGCAGTGATAGCATGACGTGCCTGACCGATTCTGATCCCTGCTAGTTTGCTGACTCTTTAACTGAGTCGCTGGCTCAGTAATGCTATCCGGGTCAGTCTTTTGTTAGCTGGTCCATCCACTAGCTGGTCAACCAATATGTTGCATTATAATTCATTTTGATGAGTGAAGCTAATAGAGAATGTTGTTTTGCTGGGAAACTTTAAATTAGATTAAAATAAAATATGTTTTTCAAATGTTTTGTAGGACAAGGCTGTGAATGGAATTTGCATGCCAAGAAGTAATCTTGAACTAACTTTGGACACCAAAGACAATGAAGTCGACCACAGCAGTTCCAAACAATTTAATAGTGACATTTTGTTGAAACCAGATTTACAAACATTCCGAGTTCTACCTTGGACTGAAAAAACTGCAAGAGTGCTCTGTGACCCATTTACTCTCTTGGGCAATCCTCTTCTTACTTCACCAAGATATCTAGCCAAACGTTTACTTAGTCAGCTACAGGAAAGTGGATTTCTGCTAAGTTCTGCTTTCATATACGAATTTTGTATATTTGGAGTTGCAGAAATTATAAATTCAAAGACAATTTCATTCCCTGCTGTAACATTGCTATCCGATCACCAGATGTTCATGCAAGAACTTTTAGAGGGGATGTATTACACAGGTGGGAACATTGAATGTTTCTCCTCTTCCAGTGCCCCTGGACAAATGGAGGTTTCCTTTCTGCCTGAATATGGGTTGGCTGCTGCTGACAATGCCTTTACTTTTAAAACTGGTATTAAAGAAGCAGCTAAGAAACAAGACTACATAGTAAGTTTTAATACTGACTCTGTGGGTTTCTATAATTCTGGAGTTCTATCACACAGCTTGTGGGATGTTAGTGGAACCAAAAATGTATTTCATACAGGATCTCGTGAAAAAGTTCTGACAGACATTGGCAAAAAATGGATATCAGGTCTTCTGCAGCATTCAGCTGCACTCAGCTGCCTAGTTGCTCCAGGAGCTGCATGCCGCAAACGTTTTTTGAAGAATGACAAAGACCCTCCAAACAGCATCTGTTCCACTTGGGGATCTAATAACAATACCTGCACCTACAATGTTAAATCTCAAGGCTGCAATGGAACATATATAGAAAACATGCTGTGTTCAGCCACAGCCAACCCTTACTTAGTTTTAGCTGCCACAATTGCTGCGGGCCTGGATGGGCTCAGGAGGGGCCTTGACTTATTCGAAGCTGCTAACAGCCATACAAAACTTACTGAACTGAAAGCACCCTCAGTACCACTGAAACTAGAGGATGCCTTGTCTGCCTTGGAAGAAGACACATGTATGAGAGCATCCTTGGGTGAACCATTTATTCACCATTTTATGACAATGAAACGGTATGAATTAGAGACAGATGAGGGGGACACAGAGAGAAATACATTTTTGGAATACTTTATATAGCTTAATCAGGACGTATCTGAATTGAATCATACACATACAATAACAGTGTAATTAGCAATTAGGCACTAAGTCTGGTTTACAGAGAAGAAGACTAGTCCATAGCACCAGCTGGGAGCGTGCATACAAGGGTGGCTCCATGGGACCATAGAAGGAGAAAGGAACCCCCAGAGTGGACGTCAGGACCAGCACCCAGGAATAAGCTGATTCTAGATGGAAAGGAGGCAGAACTACAAGAACAATCAGCAAAAAACTGTAAGTTATTTCAATAACACCTGAAATAACTTACAGAAATGCAAGCTTTAATATCACTTTAAAGCTTTACCTTCGGTCTTGCACATCTGTAAAGACTTCTCTTCTGTACTTAAATTACACTGATTTTACTGCACAATGTGAGCGTCTCATCTAGTCCAGCCTTTCCCTCCCTTTTTACCTGTGAGGAACCCTTACAAATATTTCCCAAGGAACCCCCTGTAATAATCTTCTCATCCACAGCTTGCAGTACATTAGTGTGATCAGTGAGTTGCAGATCAAGCAATAAATATGACTACTACACAAACAAAAACGTTTCATTGGTGGTTATTGAAAAACTCCAACTTTACATTGGTGTTCAGTGCAAACTTTTAACTATGCATCGGAGTTCAGTGCAAACATTTAGCTTTGCGTTGGTATTCAGGAAGAAACATTACATTTGCATTGGTGCTCAGGGAAAAACCCTAATTTTGCATTGGTGCTGAGGAAATATTTTATTGGTATGCTATCTATCACGATGGAACTGCAGGCTGCCATAAAGGAACACCTACACAGCCCTTTGCTATTCCCCCTGCTTCCAAGATCCCTTGAACAGGACCCATCTGCTGACACAGGAAGTTTGTCTACCTTGCCCCGAAGAAGCGATGTAATGCCTGCAAAACATGTTGGAGATTCTTTCTACCCCATTTGTGAATTAAACAACATCACTATAAAACTCTAAGAATAGAAGTGTCCCGTGTGCTTTTAATTTTGTCATGCTTTTAATATATATAATAAAGTGAAAGAGATTTTATTGTAACAATGGTAGGCTGCTGTTAATCCATTGAGGTAGCACCTGAAAAGTACCATTATTTTATAAGAACACATTTTGCTTGGTAAATATAATGCAAGAACTGAATATAATGGCTAAAGAAACATCAATTCACTGCCTAAGCGTTAAGTGTTGTCACCCTATAAAGTGAAGTGATAAATAAGATACAGGTCTAGAATCACCCAGTTCATAGGGTTTACAGGGAGAGTGTAGCTAAAACTCACGGACGTTAAGTGGAAGTTCACCCTAGAAATAATCAATACACTTTAAACAGCAATATAACACATTTAGCTTGATAAATGCATAGCACCATGTTTGACTTCTGTCTGCACTTCAGTTGTCCAGCAGTCAGCATTGGAAACTGCCGGCTTTTACCAGTGATACCAAACAACTCATGGTGTTGCCCAGCCCCCCTCATGCTATCTTCAATCTGCGATTATAAAACCTGACTGGAAACTGCTTGACTATGCTTTTTCTGTGTGCTGATGCTATCAAAGACATAGATAGCAAGAGGGTGGCTAAGTGACACTATGAGCTGCATGGTGTCACTGTTAATAGCCAACGGTTTTCAATGCCGATTGCTGGACAACAGGAGTGCAGAAATAAGTCAGACAAGGTGCTCAATATATATTATACGGCTGTTTAAAATTTATTGATGATTTCTAGGGTAAACTTCTACTTTACGTTTATAGGGGCATAATATATTTATTTTTTATGTATGTTGCCTATAGGTCTACTGCAATATAGTTTGCACAGCCAAAAATTACTAGACATCATTTATCAAAGAAGGACTATTTGTTTTTCCACTTAACAAATAATAATAATTTATATAAATACTACTACAAATAATAAATAATTAAATACATAAATAAATAAATAATCTACTGATTGTTATGGAACCTTCCCTGGAAAAACTAAGGGGGTTATTCAAAAAGCTCACTTCAGGCTTGTACGGCTGATATCAGCCATACATTGGCTTGCTGCGGCTGGGTTCTGGTCGGCCGAACATGCTCAGCATGCTCGGCCAACCCAAAGTGCAGAAGGAGTTCGACTCAGCCGATCCAACATCTGGATCGACTGAGCCGAACCTCTGGCAGGCTACTAGCTGCTGTTCGGCCTATTCTCATAGTGGACTAACAGCAGTGAGTGAATATCCGAATGCCACCGAGCGACATTCGGCTCGGCTATTCTGCTCGGTACCTCTGTACCAAGTAACCAGGGACGCTGAACTGTCCGTACCATGAGAGCTCAGCAGAGTTGGCTTTCATATCACCTCCGGCTCTGCTAAGCTCTCATTGTAATGCAGGAGGGGGAGAGCACCGTCCTGAAATTATGGCAGATAGCAGAGGAAGCAATATCTTCTTTGCTATCTGCAAGTTTTTTTGTTATTTTTTTTTGCAGCCGCCAGAATAAAAAAAATAAAAAAATCAGCATAAGAATGCATAGCACGGCTCCTAAAAAATTACAGGTGGCCCCCAACTTTTGAGACTTTCTCTAGTTGTCAATGGAGCTGGCTCCTAAAAAAAAATCCTGCTGGCTCCTGGATTGGACAGGCTGACTCCTGAGTTCCATTCTAATTTGTCTACCCCTGATTTAAAATATCCTTAATACAAATGTAGGTTTTATCAAAGAGGAAACTCAGGAAATTTGTTTCAATATGAACCGGTTCTGTTGACCTTACCTCCCTGAGTATATTCCTTGTAGTGATGCACCGATACCGATTTCTCGTTATTGAGTATGAATAATGATATTTTTTTTTCCGGTACTCGCCGATGCTGAACACCGATATCCTAAGTCCCATTAAGAAAGCTGGGCAGTGTGTAATGACGCGGCAAATCATTACACGTTGCCCGGCTTCCAGATTGGCCATGAAGCCGGCTCAATGCTCTCTCATCACCAAGTGACGAGGGAGCATGGAACCAGCTTCCTGGCCAATCAGGAAGCCAGGGGGCGAGTCATTACCTGCTCTCCGGCTTCCTGATTTGCCGGGAAGCCAGCTCCAAGCTCCCTGGTGAAGTTCCGCTATGGCAATACGCATCGGGAGTATTTGGGCAAATACTCTCCTGGTCACTCGCTGTGCCCAGTGGACACACTGGTGATGTAGGAGTTGGTGGGAGGAACAACTGAGCGCAGCTGGGGGCCAGGAGATTGACACCCCTGGAAGTGTCGATTTCTAAAGAAACCACACTGGATGATCCCTGTATCAGAGTGGCAGCATGGGCTAAGGGAGAGGTAAGTGTTGCTTTCGTCTTATACAGAGGCAGCTTTTGGGGCAATTTAAATTTAGCAGCAGAGTCACTTTAAAGATAGAGCAACTGATATATACTTTTATTTGACAAAATTAAAATTACAAAAAAAAAAGTTTTTGCCTTCTGGCCACAGATATTTGATATTTATAAACAGGTTATTGGCTTTTGAATTAATCCAAGTCCAGAAATTGCCCGTCTTTCTCTACTCCCAGGTTCTGTATCCAAGACCAAGAAGGGTCTCCTACATTCTTTTCTTATGGTGGCCAGAATGGTAATCCCAAGCATTGGAGGTCGTCACTCCCCCCTCTAAGTAAATGGTTTATTGAACTGAATCATCTGCAACGCATGGAGGAACTGACGGCTCATCTTAAATCACATATTTGAAGACTACACTGTTACCTGGAGTGTCTGGATCATTTCCAATAGCTTTGTCCAAATTCCTCGGCTGGCGCTCATTGCTGGGCTTTCTTATCCACTCTTGTTTTCTTCTATTCTGCCTTATTTTCTCTGCTCTACACTCCTCTCTTTACCTCTTCCTTACTCCTTTTTTTCTCCAGTAGGTAGGGTAGCCAGATGGGATTTTTGGGACGCCTGTTCAGTGTTTATTTTATACTGATGCAATTTTGCTGTATATTGATACAAATGCTCATTGGATCATCTTATTGTGCCTCTGCCTGGACAGCTTATGATTGTTATACTGTTTATTGCCACAGCTATCCCTTCCTTGTTTCTGTATATGTTTTCTCTGGAAGTTTAATAAACTTTTATTATTCAAAATGACATGAAATATGGACACATTTGGCATTTCCAAGTATAGTGTGTATGTGTTTGTGGGTATGTGTGTATTAGAAAATTAGTGTACTGACATCTTTGTTTTCCATTTGTGGGGGATGGCACCAGCATACCTCCCAATTAATGTCCCTCTTTATGGTGTGATGTCTAGATATCTATGAAAAGATTTTATTTGACTACCAAAACTGCTATTCTACACTAAAACCTTCATCCTATCTCTGAATGATCTTCTTTACTTATTTTTGGCATATACATTCTTATTGGTCCGCATACGTTCAAGGGCGTGTCTATTGCCTAAATAGATTGTGCTGGAGGGCATCCCTCTTTCTCATCTTAGAAACTTGGAAGGTATGGCTTCAGCAATATCTATAATACAAAGGTCTTTTCAATCACAGTACACCACTCCTGCATTGTACATTTGTAACACTAGATGGTACTCTTGTGTAACTAACAGCTTGAAATAGACTTTCAATGTATACACATGCCATGTGCAGTAGAACTAAAAGAAGAAAAAGTCTCCCTCACATGATTTTAATGTTTCTATAAATTTAATATAGATTTGTCGAGTTTGGTTCAAATTATTCTTCCACAGGCTTCAGCCTATATATTAGCATTTGTAGACCTTTTTGAAAGCTTTGTTTGAGGCTTAGAGCCCATTTACGTCTTTGTGGTGTATTAATTTACATGTTAGCATGCATTGTGCTAAGGCAGTCAGTTCAAAATGAAAGGGCTGCCAACACACCTTAACGTGCCTAAAATTGAACATTATTTTGTCATGCTACAATACAGGTGCATTGCCTTAGTGCATTGAGTCATCATTCAAAATAGCACTGCAACACAGCAACTCATTTTACATGCCTTACTGCACATTGCACTAAGGTATGCATTACCGCAATGCA